CGCATGAACCTATTCGGAGGCATTGTCGACCCCTCGAATGATAAACTCCTCGACAGTCATACTTGCGTTGCCGCCTCTATCAACACGGCCTTCTCGAATGCCGACCTCCTAGAGAAATCTGCCAATTCCTGAGAAAAATCTCACTATGAAGCCAATCGAGATCTTATTCTTCATTGAAGATAGCTTCGGAAGGATTATCCTTCAAGGATATACAGAGGCATACACAAGTGACCTACGCGGACAGCCACGGGATTAAGTCTTTGCGGGTGATCGGGCGGGTAGAGAGAAAACCAATCACTCTGGAGGCACTGACGAGAACATGGGCGATGTCTTTCGTTCACACTGAAGAGAGCAGCGATGAAAGCATGCAGAGTTCAAGTAAGGCTGTTCCGAGCATGATCCTAGCGCTAAGGAATGAGGGTATGATACCCTGGGTATCAGAGTTTAAGTCTACCTACATCTATGGATGAATAAGTTCACTGAGTTCGACTTCGAGAATCAACTGCGAATTAACTTTGCGTGCTTCTCGAGTGTCTCGAGATTACTCGCTAGAAGGGCAACTAGATTATGGTACTCACTATTACAGAGCTCCATAGGGAATAAATGACAATATGGGAGTTATCAAAAATAAATTTTAAAAAAGGAAAACTCGTCCCCTTCTAGTAAAAATCACCAGATAAGACTCCTGCCGAAAGATTGACCCGAGCTCTCACCACATCATCTCTCTGACGAGCTTCCTAGATTCTGAGGATGCACCAGAAGTATCCAACACAGGCCATTCAGGCCCTTTCTCGATGGCCCGTAGCCATTCTCTAGCATCATTACCCTTCGGCATAACGGGTATCTGCCGTCAACGAGATCTTAGCGCGCGCCCCGATGATCGATTTCGGAACTCACTTTCCCCGTTAGAATATGAAAAAGGAGGCAGCCGAGACTGTAAACGCCACATTTAAGGCCAAAGGTTTTGGAACGATTCTGGGCTGAAGCCCATACCTGAGAGAAACGATTTATTCCTGGGTTTATTAAGATGCAGAGATGCACCGTGAAACAGATCGATTATCGACTCCACAGTATCGAACGGAATATCTCTGGGGAGGGTCTTCCTACTTATCGAACTCTCTGCCGTGAAACACACCGTCTACCGGCTTATACTAGGGCTTAGTCAGTGACTGAGCCTGGAGCTATACCTCTATACTGGCTATCACTCGCCTGCTAGAATAAGTGCTGCACAAGAAGAAGAAGAAGAAGAAGAAGAAGATAGTATCGAGGAAATGTATGAACTCCTCGGAGGAGTCTCCTCCACAAATTCTCAGCATATCCGGTTTTTCGACTCGCACACAGCCACCTCAACGAGGAAGCATGCTCTTAGGTGCTCCACGTAGTGTAGCTTTCAGGGCCTAACTCCTCATAGTCAGTGAGAAGTCAAAAAGCATCATCGATTCTACACAGTGTACAGTTCGAACCAACTCAAAACTTACGCTCTCTGGACTGTATGTCCGCATTATAATATGTCAGACTCGACGCCGCCAAGACCACCAAGGAGAATGTGTTCGATAGTTATATATCATCACAAAGATCCACTGCAATGTGCGATTTTCACCGTCAGCGAGAATCCAACATAGAGTCGACCCTTCCGCACTGACCTCAGGCGCCATTGTGTAAGGAGTTCCGGCAACCACTTTGGACTGAAATGCTCTCGTTGGATCGAAAAGCTCGGCTAAACGAAAGTCTATGAGGATCACATGAGGCTCCATCTCGTGGATTTCTGAAAAACTGGTCATAGGTTGAAGTAACCAGACCAGGAGAGTCAACTTAATATCAATCGATATCATCTCCTGATGGAAGTGTTGGAATACAGGTTTTGTTTTCTCAGGTAAACTCGGGAGTTTTCTCACTATATTATAACAGTTCGCATCAGCATGAAAGAGTATGCACGTGGTCAACTACGTGTGTTGGCGACAATATGAAAATTCTGAGGAAATTTCAGGGCAATCTCGATAGCGCTACCCTGAATCGAGTGTAAACTTTCGCAATGTAGTGATGAAGTTTTCGAGCACATATGAGGCAACCAGACATATATTCCACATATGACTTAGAGTAGAAGTATGCAAATAACAACAACAAAAACAATATTTCCTCAAAATTCTTTACCGACGAGCATACCAAACCTTGCGCATTCTTCTCCAGGCTCCTCAGATTCGTCCGATAAAACCCCAATTTTCTCAACAGGATAAACTCCGCAAATCTCACTCTGCCTTTTTCCCAGCGGGACGCGGTTCATCAAAAGGACATTTTCCGCTTTGATGTCCTTATGAATCAATCCATGCGAATGGCAGTGAGCGACAGCATCGAGAGCTTGGCGGAAACTGAGAAAGATGAAGACTCTTCTCCACAAACACGGGATCGATCATTACACGGCACAGATCCACCTCTCTGTCAGCGGCTTACGTATTCTACTACGATGTGCATCTTCAATCACCTACAACGCGAAAACACGTCATCGATACCAGTGGAGCTTCGCCCGTGATATGAAAAACGTGGTTCACAACTACTGCATACCAAGAGTATCGCGTTTTTACCGAGTTTCACGGCACTTTCACGCCACAAATTTCACGAAACGCGACAAATCACCCCATTTTGCGTTGAATACATCACGTGTTTTACGCGTTGTTAACAGCTCAAATGCGTTTTTCGCGAAGTGAAATGCGAAATATACTTTTTCTAATGATATGAAAAACACTGGTGAAAAACATATTTCACGACTACTGCGTATCACCGCGAGTATCGCGCTTTTCGCCGAGTTTCACGCCACTTCACATAAAACGGGTAAAACTCCACTGATTTCCCCAAACTATCAATTCTACCTGCGAAAAACTCTCTAATGGAGGCAAGCCTACTTTGAGTAAATCACCTCCCTCACAGATGTCCGTGATGATATACATATTGTTCCTATCTTCATAGTATCTAAAATTCTCATTCTAATTTTCTCGTATCTATCGGTCGGAATAGAAAATACTTAGTTGAGTTTCCGAGCAAAACCCACTTTGTGGGAACGAAAATTCCCAAAGTAGCTGAATCTTTCCTCAGTTACGAAATCACGTTGAGTCTGTCCAAAACAGTGTTGGAATGATGCATTTTTACACGTCTTTACTCCGTTTTCCTTTCAGCTTGTATGGAACTTGGCGATTACCGTGGAAGGTAACCACAGGATTGAAATCGGTGATGGAGAGCTCGTTTTCAGGG